AGCTGCAGAAAATAAGCTCTAAGCCAACACAGGCAATATTTGCATGTGAAGGTTTTGAACACAGCATAAAGGTTTTGATGCTGCGGCGGTAATAAACCTGTCTTCGCTGAGTTACTAATGTTTCAACTTATCTGAACATCTACGTAAGCTTCATTCTCTCTTTGGTAGGTGCTCTACGACGCTCAGACCTCACCTGTGAAGAGTGTGAGCGCGACTGCTCAGCTGCACTTAATCCATGCATTAAGAAATAGCATGAACAGGGTTGGTCTCAAGCCGGAGGAGGACATGCTGGTTGCAGAGGTCAGCAGCAACAGGGGCAGACGCGGCATACCCAAGGGCGTGGGTAGCAGTGTAGTCGGTTACAGCGGCGGTGGTGCGACCAGGTTGGTCACATGTGTGAGAGGAATTCAAGGAAGTGGATTGAAGAGTATGCGCCAGTACTTGAAACGAACAAGGCTGAATATTACTCGAGGGTATCAGGGACGTCAGCGGCACCAACTGTACCTCTTTGTAAGGCATCTTAAAGGCAACCTCAGCATTAACGATCTCGGCGGTATTCTCAGGACCTGGGACAATTGCCTGAACAGGGATTTCAGGTGCAACAGGAATATTGGTGCCGGCCACTCGGAAACCGTTGGCGTCTGCCACGTAGTGCCGAGCCTGTATCTTGCCATCGGAGTCTATGTAGTTGTATGATCCGCGGACGATGCCGAAGACGTCACGAGTCTCAGCCCGGGAAGAAGGACCACCAGAGTAGCCGAAGGCATACTGACCCAGTTCGTCTTGGGCGTGGTACTGGGACTTGACACTGGTTACATGGGCTAGAGGAGCCACGTTGTACGTCAAACGGTGCTGGAGCCACAGTCTTGAGAGTGAGAGGTGGAGAAGCCACAGTCTTGAGAGTGAGAGGTGAGGGAGCCACAGTCTTGAGAGTGAGAGGTGGGGAAGCCACAGTCTCGAGAGTGAGAGGCGAGGGAGCCACAGTCTGAGAGTGAGAGGTGGGGAAGCCACAGTCTTGAGAGTGAGAGGTGAGGGAGCCACAGTCTTGAGAGTGAGAGGTGGGGAAGCCAAAGTTCTTAGAGTGAGAGGTGGGGAAGCCACAGTTCTGAGTGTGAGAGGTGGGGAAGCCACAGTTCTGAGTGTGAGAGGTGGGGAAGCCACAGTTCTGAGAGTGAGAGGTGAAGCTACAGATTCTATGGAGACAGGTGAGGCCACAGACTTTACGGAAACAGGTGAAGCCACGGACTTTACAGAGACTGGTGAGAAGCCACAGTCTTGTGAAGGTGGATTGTGATTCTTGTAGGTAGAAGGCCAGGGTAGGATGCATAGACACCAGGGTAAATGCTATAGACACCAGGGTAAGCGCCATATAGACTAGTGCTGGGACTATATACACGACGGTAAGCACTATAGACACCAGGGTATGTGCTGTGCACTCTAGGATAGCTGCTATACACACTAGGATAGTTGCCATACACACCAGGGTATTGTAGGAGCTGCCCACTGCTGCAACACACCGCAGCCACAATGCAGAGCAAAGTCTGAAGTAACAAAAACACTTATTAGTGGTATATGAATTTTATTCCATAATATACTGGTTTACATTTGGGTAGTTTACTAAATAATTAAGACGTAAAATCCTTTAATTCTTATGTATAAGGGTAAAAATTTATATAAAACATATACTTTAATTTGAAGGTAATTTATACCATGAGTCATTATAGCCTATAACTGACCAATCAATAGCAATAGTCTTTACAATACTGAACCTCAGTAACACCTTGAACCCTCATCTTTTCGGAAGTCAAAGAACCCTTATTCAATACATGGTGGTTCATGAGTATAGAATAATTTATGACTGCTGTTTGAGAGACTAATTAAACATGTTCATTTAGGTGGAAACGAATAATGCAATATTTTTTTTTCGAGAAAAGAAAAAAGATGGCGGGATTTATAAGTATTAAAAACTCACCAGAGAGTTCATGTTGACCCACCGAGGAGGAGCTGTCTGCTGGGTCCTCTCAAAGTCGCTCTTTATATACTGGCTGTCAAGGTCTTGGACGGGCGGGACTGGTGCTAAGACCAGCCTCATCCTCCACATCTTTGTCGCCCTCGCATCAGGCTACCTGTCCTCTCCCTGCCCTCTTTTTCTCACTTTCCATACTGCTAGGTCTCATATATTTGTTTTCAAATCTACATCACATAGTTGCTACCACTACTACTACCACGAGTACAACTACTACTACTACTACTACCTACAACGATTATATTATTCTTTGCACTCACTCTTAATACCTATATATAGCCTCTGTCTACATGTATTACATGTATTATTTGTAACTGCTTGACAAAGCTCCTGGGGAGCGAAACGTTGCTACAATAAAATGTCACATTAGTTGCGGTTGTGTCCTTTTACCTAACCTAAGTCAGTAATGTTGCCAACATTATTACAAACCTGCGGTTACTCGGGCACAATACTTATCAATTTTTTTTCCTGCATCTTTAATCTTTTTTTAAACAAAATTGTCATTCAGAGAAGTTAAAATTAACATGCGTTTTAAATATTTCCTTTGATTTGATACGAATAACGAATTTATAATTGACTGATTTATGGTTTATTTTTTGTATGGATTCTGAATCATACCGACCTTCAAATAAAGATATAATTGATGATTTTTTTTGTCCAGCTGTCTAAACGACGCTGGATAAATAATTTATTACGATTGTGACCAGATATAAACATGTAAATAGTTCATTATCACTGTAACTTGTTCATCTATCAAAACTTTGTGGATGAGTCCCTGGATCCATTATGTACCTCTGTAATTCTTTGACTACCGTCCACAGGATGGGTATGAGGTGCATAATAAAGATGTTAAACTTAACTAAAAGACGCCGGACAATAATACTTAAGTTAAACTAACTTAAAAATATCAAAACCAGCGAGAACGACATTAAACAGTCTATTTATTATCATACTAAAATGCAAGAAGTGCCACACGTCTATATTTAAACTAACAAAATAAGAATATCCTCTGACATTGCCACTCTCTTACGTCTAAATTAGAAATATTTTTTACAGTGAGACACAGACACAAAAGTTGAAGAGCAAGACAACGTTTCTGTGTAGATGTTAACCTAGTCTACATGGAACTAAAAGTTGTCCCAATAAAAACTTGTTCTGCAACTCGTGTCTTTGTTGTCTTACTTCAAGCAATACGCCAGAACACATGCAAACTTCGGTAGCACAATTATTTTTACATTATGTGCTTGAGTGTGAAATAAAGAAGTTAGGGACAAATATTTTGAATTTTGAAATATTTCGTCCATAATGACGTAAAAAAAAATCACAGCCAACTTTCAGAACTGTTTTAAATAGTTTTGTTATTTTTGGGCAAAGAGAGAAGCCAAGAAAAAGTTACAAGATTTCCTTAGCAAACAACTGATGTAATTGAAAAGTACGTGGTGTGTCCACCCCTATATATGCGGTTTCCCAGGGGAAAAATTTCTCCCCCTGGCCCCGCCTCTCAATTTCCCGGGTTTGTCAAATTAAATCCTTTTTTACCCTTTCTCGGTCCCGTTTTCCGCTTTTAAAGTTTTACTTTCCTTAAAGGGGTTCATCACATTTTTCAACCACAGTGAGTCAAAAAGAAAAAATTTGACCACCTGTGGCTTATCGGGGCCCAAGCTTTTTTTCAACTTTTTTCAAACAGCATATCCCACCCTTTACGTATCAATTCCATGAGTTTTTGGGTATGTTATAAATGCCCCCTTATTGTTATTTTTCCTTCATTGTCATTAGGGTTTTAAATTTTGTTTAGCCCCACCTCGTAGCTCATGCTCCCGAAGACCTGGGGAAATAGTCTTTTTTCCATACCCCTGCACATCCGAATTTTTTTAATTTTCTTTTTATAGGTGTGGGTTTCCCGGTCCCGGGGCCGCGTGCTCCAAGATGGGCCCCGAATGTATTTTTAAAAAGGGCCAAAATTTTCAAAAATGGTTAAAAAATTTACCATAATTTTTTAAAAGGGGGGGAAACCCGGGAAGCCAGCGGAAAAAAAGGCCCCGTTTAGATGACCCAAAAACTCCCAAAAGGGGGGTCATCAAACGGGCTAAGACCCGCGTCAGGAAACATTTGTCCTGTTTCCTGACGAACCTTACCTAACCTAACCTATAAAAGGCCAGGATCAATTTTTTTGTTTTTAGCTCTTTCCTTGTTGTTGTGTTGGTGTGTTCTTTTTCTCAGGCTTTATGATACTGCCCCTGTTTAGAGAAGAACTCTTTAAAATGTTTGTTCAACACTTTACCTGGAGTTTACCTGGAGAGGGTTTCGGGGGTCAACGCCCCCGCGGCCCGGTCTGAGACCAGGCCTCATGGTGGATCAGGGTCTGATCAACCAGGCTGTTACTGCTGGCCGCACGCAAGCTGATGTACGAACCACAGCCCGGTTGGTCAGGTACTGACTTTAGGTGCCTGTCCAGTGCCTTCTTGAAGACAGCCAGGGGTCTATTGGTAATCCCCCTTATGTATACTGGGAGGCAACTGAACAGTCTTGGGCCCCGGACACCCTATTGTGTTGTGCAACCATGGTGCTGTAAACACCACCTCCTAGGCTGAGGGACTGATCACCTCATCTTTTGTATATAGTTCTTCTGTTTTCTAATTATGCCCAAGAATCTGTATTGATAAAGCCACTGGATGGCGAAACGTCTACAATAAAGATAACCAGATGTCTTAACTTTCACCTATTGTGTTGTCTCTCAGTGTACTCGTGGCGCCCCTACTTTTCATCAGGGGAATGTTGCATCTCCTGCCGAGTCTTTTGCTTTTATATGGAGTGATTTTCGTGTGCAGGTTTGGTACCAATCCCTCCAGGACCTTCCAAGTGTATATTATCATGTATCTCTCTCGCCTGCGTTCCAGGGAATACAGATCAAGGACCTTCAACCGTTCCCAGTAGTTTAGGTACCTTATCGTATTTGTGTGTGCCATGAAAGTTCTTTGTACACTCTCCAGGTCTGCAATGTCGCCAGCCTTGAAGGGGGCCGTTAGTGTACAGCAGTATTCCAGCATAGAGAGCACAAGCGATTTGAAGAGAATCATCATGGGCTTAGTGTCCCTAGTTTTGAAGATTCTCATTATCCATCCTGTCATTTTCCTAGCATATGAGGTTCTCAGTAGTAGTACCAGTTCCTAGTAACCAGTTACCAGTAACCAGTGTACCAGTAAATGACTCACTACCAACCGTCTGCGCGGGTTGCTGGGGGGATCGGGGGTCATATTGCTGCTGACCATAGCAGGATTTCAAACACCTCTCACCCTGTAGGCACTTGTGGGGCAGTCGAAGATAGGGAGCAGAGAGAGGCAGGTCGGCTGTTGGAGCTTTCCCATACTTCCCGTTATATATTATATGTACAAACCAGCCTATGTGAGTATTTTTACCCCATCCACGTTATCGAAACCCACATGACAAATTGGTGACAGCGGTGTGGGCGTGGATTTAAGGGTATTTCAGACCTTAGAATGACTGTTTGTGAGGTCCCCGGCAGGTCAGAGTGAAACCGTGCCCACCTCCAGCTAGCAGCTTACCCTCACTCTCCTCCACTGTGTCGCTCCAGCTTGCAATCCTGTTGCAGCCGCTTTTCAAGCTTCCTGGCTTAGTTCGTGTGCTAATTGCTTCAATCTCCGAGGGGTTGACCCGGATTTTGCAATTAAGCCAGTAATAAGCCAGACTGTGGAAGTGAATGCTAGTCAGCCTGCCTCAGCCTACCATCCAGCCTGTCTCCTGTCATCCACCTGCTCCTTCATGCTGTGTGCATCGTACACGTCTTCCAGTCAGCCATTCTCGTGGGTTAAGCCAGTCAGCCAACCCAGCTTCCAAACCCAGCTGAGAGAGAGAAGTAAGATAAGATAAGATAAGATTTGATTTCGTTCGGATTTTTAACCCCGGAGGGTTAGCCACCCAGGATAACCCAAGAAAGCAGTGCGTCATCGAGGACTGTCTAACTTATTTCCATTGGGGTCCTTAATCTTGTCCCCCAGGATGCGACCCACACCAGTCGACTAACACCCAGGTACCTATTTGCTGCTAGGTGAACAGGACAACAGGTGTAAGGAAACGTGTCGAAATGTTTCCACCCGCCGGGAATCGAACCCGGGCCCTCCGTGTGTGAAGCGGGAGCTTTAGCCACCAGGCCACCGGGCCACGCAAGTTCCTCTGAAGTATTGTTTCATATATCGCTTTGTGCTCCCAGTTGGACGCCAGTTGGATGCTGCTAAAAGTGATTTTCACCATTCCTGTGGCATAGAGTGGCTTAGTTAATTATGCCACCTTCGTGGGTAGTGAGTGGAGTGTGCGCCAGTGAGCAACAGCGAGTGAGTCACGCTCCCTTCACCCACCCGCCACCCACTCTTCACTCATCTACCTGTGGCTTTTTTCCACCCTTGTACAGGGTCCTAGTACTGTTTTGGCTCACATAATTGGTCAAGAGATTGTAGCTGGTGCCAACGATAAAGCCAGTTATGTGAGTTCACCTAGAAAGCGCATTTCTACAACAGTGTGAGTGTAGGAGGCGTCATCACCGCACAGGACGTCTTCCCCTCATCACTAGTCACTCAGTCTACTACTCTAGACTTCAGTGATAATTTTCTGTTCAGAGACACTTTCCTTGCATTTAAAGACATTTGCGTGTGTGAGACATTTACAGTGAATTTCTTGTGTACTCTAAGCCTTGTGTTTTCAGTGTAGACTCAGTGTTTCTTTGACTCATTATTTTTGCAATATTTTTCAGTGTTATCGCTCATCTCATATTTTTTATCAGTGTTTTTTTATGCTACTCTGTCTGTAGTAAGTATTATTGTGTAGTGTACCAGTCAGTCACTCCGTGTGAAGTAATTCAATTTTTTTTTATTTATCTTGTGTTCTTTTAGAATTGTATTCTCCAGCATTTATCGTATACCAAATTATCCATTTATTTCTGTGTACCTTTTTTTCGTACACCAGCAGTGTCT